TTTCCTTTCCTTTCCTTTCCTTTCCTTTCCTTTCCTTTCCTTTCCTTTCCTTTCCTTTCCTTTCCTTTCCTTTCCTTCTTTCCTTTCCTTCCTTCCTTCCTTCCTTCCTTCCTTCCTTCCTTCCTTCTTCTTTATCTCCCCAGTCCCTCTTCTTCCTTCTTTCTTTCCTTCCTTTTATTGTTTGTTGGTTTGGTACCAGGAATCAAATTCAGGGCCTCGTTCTTGCAAGTGCTGTGCCACTGAACTACATCTCTAGCTCCTTCCTTCCTTCCTTCCTTCCTTCCTTCCTTCCTTCCTTCCTTCCGCCCAGGGTCTCACACTTGCCAAGCAAGGGCTCTAGTGCTAAACTATACCTCCCGCCCCCCACTTCCCTAGGATTGACTAGTTCTGATTCTTTTTCTTGGAATCCTTATCACAGTACTTGGCATGAAGTAAGCACCATGTAACTGTGTGCTGCATGTGAATGAATGGATGGCAAAGAGCAGGATTTTTTTCTGAGACAGGGTTTCATTCTGTAATTCAAGCTGGCCTTGAACTTATAATGTAGCCTACTCTGGTCTTGAACTTGTGGTGATCTCCCTGCCTCAGACTCCCAAGTGCTGGGATTATAGGTATGTACCATTGTGCCTGGCAGGAGCAAGATTTTTGAGGCTGAAACCCTTGCTCTTAACCACTACTTTTTTTGGGGGGTGAGGTACTGGAAATTGAACTCAGGACCTTGCACTTGTCAGGCTCAGCTATATTCCTGGCCCTTAACCACCACTTTCTTTCCAAGAGTATTGACATAGAGAATTATCCACTTATAAACCCTAATACCTGCACCCTATTTCTTGGAGTAGAAATTTCTGTCGTGTTCCCTTGTCTCCTCACCTGACATCCCAGGCCCTGAGGTCTGGACTTGGCTATTCTCTGCTAGTTGCTCATAGCTCTGGTATGTTCTCTGCCAATATTTCTATTCACTGCCCACCACTTCATGATGATGGCCTGAATGGCAACAGAGCCTGTTCAGGCTACTACTGGTCATCTGGTGATTTCTGTGGCTCTGCCATATATAGATGGTGACAGAGCCACAGATACCCCTGCAGGTGGAGCGACTGATTCCCTGAGCTCCTGATTAGAGAAGCCTCTAGTGACTGCATCACAGGCATCCCAATGGCTGCTTTTCTGTCTTCATGTAGACACAGATACCCCTGCCTACCTGGTTGTTTTGTTCTCCAGGCTTTTGTCTCTCTGAAAATTACGGAGTAGCCAGGAACACTAAGCACTGATTGTTTTAATTATATGGTGCTGGAAGATCTGCCCCTGAGTTATCAGGTATTGTGTTATTTGGAAGCAACTAGCTTGATGAAACAATGCAACTGATGACTCAACCACACAGCCTGGTGTGCTGGCAGAGTGCAACACAAACTTTATATAGCCCCCTCAGGACACTCAAAACATTCCCTTTCCATTTGAGGACATGTTCTTTGCAATGTATGTTTCATTTAACTTGAACACTCACTGTATTTTTGATCACCCCCATACATAAGATGTGTTGGTAAAAAAAAAAAACCAGTGGCCTATGCCAGGGAGATGGCTCAGTAGGATAAGCGCTTGACTGGCAAACTCAAGGATCTGAGTTCAATCCCCGGTTCCGCCAAAAATAAATAAATTTTTTAAAAAAGATGTGTTGGTGTGAATTAGTATGCCCTTTAGCCTCCTAAACCGGGAAGGAATGAAGATCAGGCTTCAGTAAACAGAACCCAGAAGAACCCTCTGGTGTTTGGAATCTGGGACCAGCCCCCACGGATTGAACTCAGACCCTTGTGCTTATTCTTCTGAGCTATGTTCCCAGCCCCTGCCACCGCCGCACTTTTGGTGCCAGGAATTGAACTCAGGACCTTGCACTTCCCAGACAGGTGCTGTGCCGCTGAGCTATATCTCCGACTCTTTCTTACCTACTTCGTGCTCCCCTGGGCAAATGACACAAAGGCCAGAGTATTATCCCAACCCCATCCCAGAGCAGATTATCTGTCTTCACTCAAAACACAGCTTTGGGGGGGGGGGGGGCTGGTGAGATGGCTCAGTGGTCTAAAGCACCTACTTAGAACAAGCTAAGCTAAACAAAGCACAAGGACCACGGTTCAATCCCCCAGCACCACATGCCAGCCAGCCTGGCCCCCTGGTGGGCTGAGCTGGCCACACACACACACACACACACACACATATTTAAAAAAAAAAAAAAAACCACAGCTTTCCGCCTGGTGTAATCCAGCACCCTAGGGAGCTGCAGAAGGACAGAAAATTGTACTCCAGGCGAGGCACTTCAGCGATTTATCAAGACCCTGTCTTACAATAAAAAATAGAGGTCTGGGATGTAGCTCAGTGCAAAATGCCCTGGGTTCCATACCTGGTACCACAAGAACAAAAACACACAAAGCAACCCCCTCCAAGAAACGCCAAAGAAACAAAAACCCCAGCTTTCATTTAATGAGATTATTATTTTTTTTCTTTTTCAGAACCGGGGATTGAACTCAGGCCCTTGTGCTTGCCAGGCAAGCGCTTATTCTACTGAGCTATCTCCTCGGCCCCTAATGAGATTATTAAAATGAAAAAAAAGCACAACATGAATATATAATTCCAAATTGGGATAAATGCTGAAAAAAAAAAAAAGAACAAAGGTGCCTAAGATGTGAGGGAACTAATCTAGGGGGTCAAAAAAGGTTTCTCTGAGGGAAAGATCTGAAATACGGGTAAATCACAGGGGAAGAGAATTTCAGCAGAAGGAAGGGTGTGTGCAAAACCGAAAGCCGAGGGGCCCAAGGTGTTGGAGTCCGGCTGCGGGAGGGCCGGGAGGGCCGAGGAGAAAGGAGCTGAAGGGCGGCCGGGGCAGGAGGCGAGCGCCGGCGGCGGCGGGGAAGCCGTGCAGCGGCGAGCGCAGGAGGTGGAGACGATCGCAGGCGCGGCCTGCAGCTCTCGTGGCTTCGACAGTGAGGCCTGGAGCCCGACCTGGAGGGCCAGGATGAAGCAGCCGGAGGCGGGTCCGCGGTTTCTGCGCGGAGAACCGAACCGGCCCACGTGGGCCCGGCCGCCCCGCCCCGCCGCGCAGACGCGGCCCGACTCCGCAGTCCCGGCCGGGGCTGGGATCTGGCGCCCATCCGGCCCACTGACCCCGCAGGCCGAGGTGCCGCCGAGCCGCAGTGGTGAGCTCCCCGCGAGCAGGCCGGGCGGAACCAGAGCGGCCCGCAGGAGCGGGCGCCACAGACAGTGAGTCCGGGCCGAGGTGGAGGGCTTGGGAGCCGGGCGGGAGCGGGTGGGCGTCGGGACCGAGGTCGCTGTCCTCGTCTCCCGGGGCGCTCGCCCTGGCTTGCACCGCGAGGAAGCGAGGCCGCCGCAAGCATGCGGGGGGGGGGGGGCCCTGCCCCCAGGGTGCCCAGGTTTCTGTTTTTACATCAGGGAACCTCTGGGCCTTAGCATCACCCCACTTCCTCCAGCTTCTTTCGTGGCCCTGCCTGTCTTTCAGAAAAAAATGGGGCGGAGGAAGATCTCCAGGCACCTTCCTGTAAGCCGCAATGCTGAGGGTGCGCAGGTCACCAGGCCTGCTGCCTGCTCCTGCAAGTGGGGAGAGCTATCGCGCCCTGCCGAGGTCCTCCTCGCATCTGCTCCACTCGGTAGAATCCCTCCCTCTGTATGGGCAATGACAACCTCTTATCAGTTAAAGCCCTCATTTTTTTGTTTTTTAGCAGAAGTTGGTCAGGAAGGGAAGAAAAACGAGGTACACCCTTCCTCCAAGGCCATAAGGGTGGAGTGAGCAAGGGTAGGGACACCAGACTGGAGCACTGGGAAAGAGGGGCCAGCTCCCGGGGGAGGTTTGTCCTTGGAGTTGGGGTGGGGCCCGCAGGACAGGACACTGAGGCTGGCTCTTCCATCCCTGGGCCTGCAGCAGTCGCCTTCTGCTACCATGGGCCCCATCCTCCTCCTGAGCACAGAAATCTCACTGCAGTCTCCTCTCCCATTCACCTGCCCAGCAGATCTGTGCTGACACCTGTTTGTGCCCGGCTCGGTGCTGGCTCCTGGGAATATGCTGGAGGATGATTAAGAGTTTCACAGTCAGGGAGTCAGATTATAAATTCACTATAGGATCGTTCAGCTAAACAGAATTCCAGTTGGGTAGATAGTTACTGGATATCAGCTACATGGCAGGTATAGGAAACAAACATGGGTAAGACAGTGTGTACCCAGGGCAGAGGTGACCCAAGGAGGACTTAAGGAACTGTGTGTTTGTATCTGTTGGGGCCATGGGGAGATGCAGGAAAGTTTCAGAGAAGTGGGGTTATTAAAGCTGAGTTTGGGAGTGCAGAGAGAAGGCAAAGGAGTGTAGAGGAAGAGGCAGGTGTTGTAGACCAAAGGCATGGTATGAGAATGATGGTGTTTTGAGACCTCTGAGCAGTGTGGGGCAGTGACAGTGATGGAAGGGTTATAAAAGGAAGCACAGATCAAGTATAGGGTTCAGTAGGCCATGGGTAGGCTTTCTTTCTTTCTTTCTTTTTTTTTTTTTTTTTTTTTTTTTTCTTCTTGGTACCAGGGATTGAACTCAGGCCCTTACGCTTGCTAGAGAAACACTTATTCTACTCTCC